TTTAAAAAGCAAAGGCTAACTGCAGTTTATCTCCTAAGTTGCATGAAATGTCAGCCAGATGGAGCTGCACAAAACTTGGTAGCAGAAGCGTGTGGCTGAATGCCCGTAAAGGACATCGTCCCGTGGACACCATGAACCTGCTGCTGGAATTAGGTGCAACAGTTCGATGGGAGAAGAGAGGTGGGGCCCACGGCCAGGAGGGGTAGTGCAGGGCCTGTTGCTTTAGCACTGAGGCAGTCAGCAAGGCGTGCTGGATCTGCCTGGAAGCCCCGGCATCTGCCCATGTTCAGCAATCCCACCAAGAAGGCTGCAGGCTTCTCTTGAAAGGAGAAAATGGGCTCTCTGCATTGCACGTGCAGACTTTGCTCCCCGTCCCTTGATCTGCCACAGCTCATGTGCTGCTCAAATGCCGAACTCTCAGGGAAATCATCCTCATATGTGCTTAATAAATCAAAGGCAGGAACTCAGAGGACTGGCAGGCAAAGTAATTAGAGCCCGAACATCCGCTTGGTGAAATAGTCGTCTTGCCCTTTGAAACAGAAATAGAGAGTAAGTGTCGGTGTGGAGTTAGTAGTTGGCTTCTCCTGGAGCGGGGGAAAAGGAGGGGAAGCATATGCTCACACTCACAAAACAGAAAGGCAGAGCTAAGCTAGATATAGTATCACAGAATCAGAGAAGTCGGGCTGCAAGGGACCTCCAGACGTCATCTGTCCTACCCCCTTTTTGAGGCAGGATCAGCCCTATCCAAAGCATCCTACACCATCCATAATCTAACCTCTTAGTAAATCTGCCATCAACCCTGACACAAGACACAGCACCCTAACCTGCCACCAGTGAAGCAGGGGGGGACCACAGCAGCCAACGTCCTGCTTGTGTAAAGGGTTGTTAATATATGCTCAAGAGATGCCAGGTGGAAGGCCATGCTCCCTGCTACAGAGGAAGGCAATCACAGGACCTAAAAATCCATGTTTTTTTAAAATCTTGTCATTTTGAAACCAATCTTGAGACGTTTGAGGCCTTGTTCATGACCTTTGTGTGCTTGGGCTTGTCAATATGGCGTGTCAAAACAGCTGGAGATGGACCCTGTCCCAAATGGTTTATCTTCTAAATGGGCAAGAGAAACACGAGCATGCTTCAGAGTCCAGTGAGGGTCTGCAGACTATGTCTATGGGGTCTGTTGAAGATGACTATGATGGATCAGAAATAAGTGAATATCCACACTTACAATTCAAAGGGATCCACACCTCCATTCAAAATGTGTTAGGGGTCCACAAAAAAAGGTTGAAAACCACTGCTTTAGTCAAAAGCAAGTGGTCAATACAAGTGTAAAGTGGTAAAAGGATCAAAAGGTCCTTTTTGACCCTAAAACACCACAGATCCCTGCTTTCCAGGTGAAGGACAGGCCACCTGGTGTAGGACTAGGAACTGAATTCAGCTCCCGTCCACAAAACCATCCTCACTCTACAAATGTGTCTGGTCCTTCCTGGGACAAAGCCTGCTTTTTCTTCACTTGCATGCGTGTGCAGCACAATATGAAATCATTAAAAGGCCTGAATATTCAGGACATTGTTACAGGCCCAAACCCATCCTAACCAGCCAGGGCCATTGTGTTTCCCACTCTTCCTACACCCCACCGGCACCTTCCTTTAACAATCCCCTTGTTGCGAACTGGACCAGAACAGACCATGAAAAATGGACTGTTCTCCGAGAGGGTTTGCCCCTGTGGCTTTGCTATTCTGGAAGGGAAAGGATTTGCTTACAAGTCTGCTAATCACTCTAGAACAAAGGGGCCTGAATTTTCAACCACAGCTGTTCTGGGCAGCATGAGGTGGGAAACCAGTCCTCAGATCCATGTGCAATGGCCTCCTCCTTGCCCTTTCGACAACCCACCATTTTAGAGACTACTGCAGCATCACACGGTGCCAGTCGGCTGCCACGCCTAACCAGCAGTCCTAGAAGTCCCACCTTCGTGAGACTTAAGATGTCAAGGGAGATTGTGCAAATATGGTAAACCGCTTTCCTCCACGGCGAGGTGATACAACGAGGGCTCACTTACCTTCTGCGACAGAAAAAAAAACACCCCAGACAGCTCACCGCCAGATCCGAGCAGACAAAGCCTGCCTGGGAAAGCAGTGGCCAGGGATGAGAAATATGAAAAAGATCCATCAGCTCAGGGTTTAGAGAGCTGTCGTAAATAGATCTGACGAGAGTCACTATTGATTTTTGTTGTGCGGAGCTGTAATTAGATTGACTGGGAAGAGATGTGCAAAGTGGTCTCAGCAGAAAATAAATAAAGAAATGCAGAAGGAACCCCGGGCGTGCTTTCATGATCCATTCGACTCCAGAATTTCATGCCAGGGTCTCTGTTTGTCCCCTCCCTACCAGCCCTGTTAAGCTGGGGTCCTCAAAAGTGGGTAGGGGCGGTGCAGTGGTTAACACATTGGACTGTGAGTCAGGACCCCTTGTCTCCTATTTTTGGCTCTGCCATTTGCATTTGATAAATGACCTTAGATTGTCCTGTGCCACGGGCAGCTGGTGCCTCCTGATTCTGGGGGGTCACCAGCAGCCGATCGCCAACCGGGCGGGGGTGGGGTCCCCCAGCGGCCGATCACCAACAGGGGGCAAACCCAGAAGTGCCGCTGGCACTTCGCTTGGCGCCCCCACATTCTTGAAGGGGGGCACCAGCTGTTGCCCCCCACTCCCCAGCCAGCGAGGGCCAATCTCAGGGGGGGCACGTGCCACCTTTATGCGCCGCCTATGTCCTGTGCCTCAGTTTCCCCTCATATTAAGGCTGTAGGCCTCCCTGCTAAAAGTCTTTGTGCTTAATGCCTGCAAAAAACATATCATTATTCAAATCTCACCATTAGTGACTCAAGTCTATTTTCTGCTATGCCACATAGGTGGTCTAATTCAGATGACCTCTATCTTGGGTAAACTGCTAGCCCAGTGCAGATTGACAGCATGGATTGAACCAGGAACCATTAGCACTCAGATGATAGGATCACATTGGGAGAAAGCGGGCTGTCTTGGCTAATGCAGCAGACTAAGAGTCTGGAGATCTCTTGCCTACGGGCATGTGAACGAGTTACTGTATGGCAAAGGAAAGCTGGGGCTCACGGTGTGCCAGGTGTGCAGGCTCTCGTTACACAGTAAATGAAATCTTCTCTGTGGTAAGAAGGCAAAGCTACTGTGGGTTACCTTTCATATACCACAGGGTAGTGTGCACATAGGCAGTTCATGCAGAGACGCTGAGTTGCATTAAGACTTTACTGTCTCTGCCTCATGGGAACCTGTCTGTGTGCCCAGGTCCTCAGCTGCATCGCAGATGCCAGTGCAACTTTGAAGGAATCACCTTATTCTTGCCACTCCATGGCTCAGCTGTGCAACGGCAATCATATCACTTCCCTTTATTTTTTACTTAAGTCATGACCATTTTGAGTCAGGGATTGTCTTTCTATATGTGCACAGCACCCAGTACAAAGTTGTCTGTCTCAGGAGCTAAAGGTGCTACTAAAGGATGAAGAAGAAGAATTAAATATCTCTATAGTGAGATCACCATGTTTGTGAAAAAATCACCATGTCTGTGAAAACAGAAGATGATAGCACAGCTACGGTGGGCCCAACTGCAGCACCTGGAGTCCTGTGATTAGATTAATATTTCAACAGTCATCTTCCAGAAAGCACATTATTAGCCACTCAAAAAGCTCCAACACTCGACTACAAATACCACAAAACTAATTTTTTTGTTTCATCTAACTACTTTTAAGGCCTGTGGCATTGCTCATGCCAGCATTAGTGACTCAAGTCTGGCTATTTTCTGATATACCATAGGCCAGAATTTGGTCTCATTCATTTTACCTCTATCATCATGAGTAAACTGCAAGCTCAGTGTGGACTAATAGCAGGGAATGAACCAGGAACCTGAAACCTTCAGCACTCAGATGATAAAACATACTGGGCACATCTACACGTTCATTAATGCACTTTAGGTAATGCGCATTAAATCTAGTACCTTCTGGGTGCCTATACACAAGCACGGAGGCTGCTCCAACCTGCTGGAAGTCCAGTGGCTGAGCAGACTCGATAAATCAAGTCTGTAGGAGCATGGCAACTACCATGCTCTGGTAGCCTCCTGAATCTCACGTATCAGCAGCCCCATGCTCAAAAATGGGGGCACCTTATCTAAAGTTCGTTGAACAAGCATCCCTGGGACCATTTTGAAGCGTGGGGATGCTGGTCCATGAGACGTAGCAGCGGTTTAATTAGAAAAGCTGTCAGAGACGCTCTAAATAAAGCACCACCCCCATCCACCCTCGGGGCATATGTAAAAGTAAAGTACCCTCCATTGTGAGGTCCTAGAAAAAGGCACATTTGCCTATTTTAACGTGCATTAGCTAAAGAGCATGGGGTTTTTTTGTGACACTCATTAAAATAGGCTAATGCACATTAAAGTGCACTTACAGCTGTGTCCCTTTGTGCATCTTTTAATGCTTTTGGGATGGTAATATTATAACCTGAAAATACCTCTTTTTTCATATACAAATATATAATGAGGCTCTCCAGGGCTTCCAGCTTCATTAGAGTTGATCCCCAATAAACCAGCCCTACAGGTGCTGCTGGACATGTACCCAGTCAACTACACAAGCATCCATCCAGACAGCCATCTGTATTCAACTCTCTGTTCTGCTGTCTCACCACTAGATGCTAGTATAATACCCCGTATCATTCACTCCAGGCCAGGTAGCTGGTACATCTACACAGCAATGGATGCTGACTAGCGCTGCTGTGCACACTGGGGTACCAACTGCTTAGGGACTGGTTGCAGTATAATCTATGCCAGGTCTATGCGGCAAAGTTTTGCCCACATCCCTGCATTAGCTGTATGGTCATGTGTGATTTCTGATTGGCATAGCTGTGTTGGCAAATGCCCCTGGTGCTTCTGCTACTACACTTTGGGCCAGGCTCTAGTCTACCAGTAACATCACTGAACTGAGGTGCCCAAATGCAATTCTATTCCACCCTGTTCAGGTCCTTGAAAAACTGCTAATGTAAAAAGTAGGTGGCTGTTCCTCCTCACTGCTTTTTTATGATACCATAGGGTAAGATCCTAAGGTCCCTATGATCTTAAGGGTAAAATAATGGTGTGTTACAAAAGTAGGTGCATTAATGGATTTTCAAATACTTGTGCATGTTGGCACAGTATTGCAATTAAGCACCTAAGTCATTTAGACACATATTGGGTAGAATGGGTACCCACAGTTGTAGCAAGCAAGCTGTTTTTAACCAGACCAGCTTTTTTATTTTTGCTGAAATAAGTTGTAACAGCTAATTTTGTTTGTCTAACTTGTGTACATGTAGGCAATGGCATCCCATGCCTATATAACATGATGGTATGCTTAAAGCAAAGCACTCCTACTCTAGATCGTTAGAAGCTTTTAGAGGCTTTATTAGTGGCTATGATGAACTGAAGGGACCTGTTTTCAGGGACTAAGCAATACTGGGCCTGGCTAGATCTTGGATAGGAAACCTTCTAAGGACCCAGATGCTATAGGTTTGAGGCAAGGAGAGGTGGCCAAATGTTTGGCAAATATTAGTCTGTAGAAATTAAATGATCTCAGGACTTGACATGGCACCATTGCTGTTGCTGAACAGGTGGATAGAAACCAGAGGAAGAGAAGGACTTTATTTTCTTCCCAAGACAGGATTAATTTACACCAATGGAAATATGTCCACAGCAGGAGTTTTGTCCTGTTTTATCAACAGAGCTGCAGCTATACATTACTTGAGTACAGGCAATACCAGAAGGTCTTCATAGCACCCAGCACGGTGGCATCCCAACCCCTGATCAAGGTCTCCAGATGATACCTAACTACAATTAATTCATTATTTATGTGTGATCGAAATACTCCAAACTTTAATGTTGCAATGGGGGAGGAGAGGGAAGAGAGAGAGAGAGAGAGACGCATTTGTTTTTTGGAGGGTTTTTGGTGGGGGTTTTTCCTTTTTTGCAGAAATGTTCTAGAAGAAGCCATGCTGCTTTTCAGGCAGCCACAGTAAATGAAAAAAATCACCCCCAAAACAGATAAATTAACAGAAAAAATTGCAAAGATGTTTTGCAAATGTATATTCATGATTTGGATAATGGGTGGAACAAATGCTTATCAAATTTGTGGGTGACACCTAGTTGAGTTGGAGTTGCAGGCATTCTGGAGGGAAGGGCTGGGAGCCAGAATGACTTGGACAGACTGGAAAAAATGGTCCACAATCAATCAGATAAGATCCAACAGGGACAAGTGCAAAGTCCTCCTCATTAAGAAGGATGTGGACAGGTTAGAAGGAGTCCAATTGGTCAAGCATTGGATCAGGCTGCCTAGAGAAATTGTGGAATCCCCATCCTTGGACATTTGCAAGGGCAGATTGGACAGACAATTGTCTGGCATGGTTTAGTTGGAAATGATCTTACCTTGAGCAAGGGGATGGACTAGATGTGATCTTGTAAGGTCACTTCCAGCCATATTTTCCTATGATCCAATAATCTGATGTTTTGTATTTTTTGACCAGATCTAGCTTTTGTTGATCATGATAGTAATGGAAGAACGTATTGCTTTGATAAAATAATACTGTACTACGGGAAACATTTAGTACCTTTGCCCCTTTACCAATATCATTCATTCATTCATTCATTCATTCATTCATATATCTTGAAATGTTTTACCTAAATGGGTCAGTATTGGGGAAACCAAAGCACAGTCCAGTACCCTGATAAGGCCAATATCATACGGACAGAAAAATATTAGCGCCAAGATGAGAACCCAAGTCTTTTCTTCCAATAAGCCATCATCCTCTTGAGTAGCCGTACTAACGAGCATTGCCTTCGAGTTGCAGAATTCCAGCAACACTATTAGTCACTGGCTATTACATGTTGCATAATTGAATGCAAACCAATGTGGAGTTTAAAAACTTGAAACACTGATTAACTTTTCTCAGTCTATCCAATGCAGCTCATGTGAAAAGCGGCCAACAGATGGGAACCATTATAAGGCAACTTCACCCCTTCTCTGGAATTATAGCTGGGGTGAATACGACCTGCACCTGTCCCTCGGAGAGCACACCTAACACACCTAGCACATCTAATAGTGTCTCCTATGCAAAGATATATGAAACAGAGCAAAAGTGAGGACCTACTGTGGATAGTTGCAGGCCTTAAACTCACTGGTAGGTAATGCTAACGTTACACAGCAACCATCACCAACAGAAAGCCAACATCTGCCATACAAATTCATTCTCACCCTGAGTGCAGGGAGATATTACCTTGTCACAGAGATGGCTATGAAGTTAAATGCCTTTAGTAATTCAATGGGCAAAAAAAAAAAGGACCATTATATCATAGGCATCAAGAAGTGAGACAAGATCCTTGACCTGTTTTGCTGTCTATGCAACATCAATGATTTGCAGCAATCAGACGCAGCTTTGTTCCAACTAACTGCAAACATAACATATAAATACTGCTGCTTGGCTGCGTTCTGGAGGACTGCATGGGGAGGACACGTAGAAGGGGTCTCGCTAATACAGTCCATTACATTCACATATTCAGCAAAAGGCAGGGGTTGCCACAGTTACACTATACCACACACCGGTTTGGCCTGATGCACAGTTGCACACCCCTTTGCTTCTAGCTTTCACCCGCAGCAGTGTTGAGAGTGAGCAGAGGTTTGGACTAAAGTATGAATGGAGTGAACTGGGAGCTGGGAGCTGGGGGTGGCTGAGGGGAGCTGATCAAAGCCAATATGTCACTCACTGCTCGGACTGTGCACGCCTGTGGGTTTTTTTGATTTTGCTTTTAATTCATGTCTGGAAAAAAGTCAAATTTTCTATAAAAGGTTTTTTTGTTTGTTCTTTTTGCAAGCATCTGATGGTCATAGGGTAGGTTTTTCACTAACACATTCATCTGCTGGCTGTTTGACTGAGGTACCTCATGGGACCCAGACTCCACCTGGTACCACAAGGGGTTAAAAATGTCTTTGTTCTCCAGAATGTCTGTTTCCAATAAAATTTAAAAAAAAGGGCAGCTGGATTCAGGACCTTTGGCAAAGCCTGGGGAAATGCTCTCTGCTAACCATTATCGCCCCAAACCAAATGGCTTGAATTAGATATATTTTGCTTGGGCAAATCTGTTGTCTCCTGTAAACTGGCAGCCCTAATTAGAGCTGAGCACTCAGGCAATCAGGGGAAAGAATCAATACCATGTGACAAATATGACCAATCACCAGGAAGCAACAGAAATCCAAGATGCAAGGATTTGGAACCCGTCCATGTCTAAAAATTCACCAATTAATGTATCCATTTGCAACTTGCTTGTGTCTGTGCCCAGCAACAAGAGAATAGGCAATAACTGCTAGATAAGTGATTTGGTTATCAGCTCTAGATCTACCCAACATGGGCTGGATGTGATGAACCTCCAAATGTATCTGTGCGTACTGTTAGCTCAGGGTGCCTAGAATTAAAATGAGTAGAGAAAAGCAAGCTGGAAAAAAGAAATCATAAAAACGAGTGCCCTCTCCCAAAAAGTTGGAGGAACTGATTTGCAATAAGGATGCACGTTCATCGTGCCTCCTCATAAAGGACAGATGTGGAATGGGCTGCACTGCCGCTTGCCATTAGTTCACGCTAGAAGTAAGGAGCACGTTTTCAGCTGGGAAGGTGATGAATAGCTGGCCCAAGGTTGTGGTAGGTCTTCCTTCACCTAGATTCTTTCCATGAGGAATGGGTATCCTTTCAAATAATATGCCTGAGTTCGGTCACAAGCTCTTTGGCTCATTGAAAGAAGCACTGAGTAGAATCGCCTTGCCTATGCTCTGCAGGAGATTAAAGTCGATTATTGTAATCTGATTTTCTGGCTTGAAAATCTTTTAATGTTGCCCCTGCTGTGAGTTGCCTGCCAAAACCATAGCACATAGAGATCTCAGTACATGTGCCGGTTAGGCATGGTAACATTTTCAAAGGCATGTATGACTTTGGCTCCTCAAACCCATCCCTTTTCATAAGGGTTGATACACCTAAATCCCCTAGGCCACGTCCTCACCGCACAAAGCTTTGCTGTTACAGTGAGACAGCTCACTTGAGATAGCTATCACAATGTAAGGTCCTAAGGGACGCAAGGCACAGGTAGATTGTACCTCAAGGTACAGTCAAGGTCAAACTTATACCACATTTTGGAGCTAAGCTCATCTCCTTGGTTTCCCACAGGACTCGGCATTGCAGTAGTTAACTCAAAACATAATCTTAGACATTTGTGAAATTTTCACCCACCATGAAGCAGTTAGATGTCTACATGCCAATGATCCTGCATGCAAAATGAAAGGCTCTTTATCCTTAAGCCAGTCCCTAAGACTCTACATAGCTTCTAAAAATGATCTGGGATCATTTAATTCATTTCAACTCACCTTTAAAGCAGTCTTAATACTCAGCAAAATTTCATTGCAGTGAATTAACAGGCTCGCTGTTCAATAGAAGAGTCATTTGAGCTTTCTTCACCTGACTCTCCAGTGCTCTTTACTTTGCACAAAGCTGGTACAAAATGCAGCTCTTCTGATCAGATAATGTTTTACACTTACTTTATAAATGATCACATGAGGCCTAAGACAGGGGAAACGCAGGCTTATGATGTCTTCACTCAAAATCTCTTTAACCACAAGACATCACAATCTTTACTGTTCACTCTAGTGATGTGTCTACCCTTTCATTTTTTCTCCTGTTTTAACACAGGATAATGAAACGAACCCAACTGCACATTCCAGCAAAAACAGGACAGTCCAACTCACTTCTCCAATGTCCTGTGCGCATGCTCAGTCATTTGCACCTATACAAAGTGGATGTAAAATGCTGCTAATTCAGAAAGGATGTTTTTTACATACACCCTGCAATGGGACAAATGACCACACCAGGCACAGAACAATGGAGAAATGGGCCTAGACTTTGTCGCGGAGGTTGAACACAGCTGGAAGGAAGTGCTTGGATCATGGAACAAATGTTTTACAACTATCCTACGATTGTGTTAAGTAGCACATGTCATAACACAACTAAAGTATAGACACACGCACATGGTGTAACCTGTCACAAGACCCCCCAACCAAAGCATTGGGATGACTCTCCAAGAGTCCACTATTCTGTTAACATTATAGACATCCTGAACTAACCCTACAAAGTTATTTAATGACAAGGCAAAGAATGACTTAGCCTTTACTGTATGATATTGGAAATAAAGACACAACCGTGAATTAATGGAGAAATGAGAGCCCACTGTTGAGGAATGCATGTGGCTGGTGGACAGTTCAAAGAGGACAGATAACAGACAAACCTTGCAAGACTCATGGTATAAAGCAAAGCAAGACCACAAATGCCTATGAGATGACTTTAGCAACCTGAACTCCAAAGGGAGTGTTTTGATTGGCTGTCAGTGATGTCCTAGCCCTCAAATCCAGTGGACTGCCCCAGTTAAACTCCTACTCCTCGGTCAGGTCTTGTTGTTCAAACAATTTCCATCTTGCAATAGAAATAGGACCCAACGGGCTGCGTATTGCCATGGGGCTCTCTCCTCTTCTGAGGCAGTCTAGTTCCCACTGAGCTGCTGAGTAGTCTGTAACTAGAGGGCATCACATCCTCCTGCTCTAGGGACATCCCCCTTGTACCCATCCCAGTGCCTCTAGCAACTCTGCTTTGGTCTCTGCTGGGACCAGGGCTGATGGGACCTGTAGTATGTTTGCGTGAGAAGTTAAGGCATAAGCAGAGCCTGCCCATTGACCCCGCAATCTGAAGTGGCGCTGTGCTGACTTTGATTCTCTGATGTCGTACAGTATTCAACTGCCTGCACCACTGAGGACCTCTGTCAGCTCCTCAGCGGGGAAGCTCTTTGCCTCCGAGGTTCTTCAAATGGCAGAGCCCCAAAGGCCAGAGCTTCAGCTCCTCTAAACTGTTGTTGGTCCTTTGACTTCAACCGAGCCATGAGAGTTTACCAAGTTGATGATTTAGCCCTTGTGTTTCTGAAAGAGAAGGACTCAGATCTACTCCCAACACCGCATGGATGCCCAAGGCTCATTTTGTAACTGTCCTTGTCCTCTCCAGGACTTGGGTGGCCCGAGGGAGGACCACCAGAGGCTTCCTGAGGCTGAACAGTGAAGTTATTCCTTTCCCTTGGGTTTGTGCTTGCACGACCTGACCAACCCTCAGGGAAAGTGAACTGAAAACTGGAGTAAAGTAACAGTAGCATAAGAGAGGTGGGGGGGCAAGGGTGCAAAAATAGCCATGACCAACGTGGAGGCTGATCATATTGCTGTGACTGTTGGAAGCTAGTGCTGCTCCGGGTGTCACGTGGCTGTCCCAGGAGCTGAGCTGTCTGGCTACGCCTCTGTAAAGTGCCATCTGTCTGACCGAGCTGAAGTTGATACTATGAAAGGGGTAAATGACAGCACTAAGTTCAGAAAAACTAAGGATGGCCAGGCAGCCAGACAGACACATATGCCTAGTAACACTCACATGCACACAATGGCAGCCTCCAGATCCACAGGAGCAGTGGATTTGCCTGCAGACTACAAGCCCCCGTGTAGACTATTGGATTGCAAGAAGTGGTTCCAGAGCCTCTGATCTGGATTAGTGGTCCTAGAAGCCTACGTAGTGCCAGGAGGGTCCAGGTAAAGGCTGCAAAGCAGCAGCTCAGGGGAATAAGGTGTTCAAACCCCACTGAAATGCAATGGAGTAAATTTTTCAAAAATACTTCAGAAATTTAGGAGCATAAATTCAGCTGAAAGTCACTACAGGCCAAATTTCCCCATTTCCATTAATGGCTTATGGCCAGATCACGATCCACTGTTTAGGCTCCTAAATCACATGGAGTTAGGCACTTAACTTACAAAATCTAGGCCTGAGGGACAATTTTTAATGGGACTTGGCTGTCTGGGAATTTTTGAAAATCTCAGTAGGTGCCTATATATCTTAAATCCTGTAAAGATAAAGTCCTCAGGAGCCTAAGTCTCACTGAATCCAATGAGGATTAGGCTCTTAAGTGCATAAGTGACTCTTGACAATGGAATTTAGGCTCCTAAGTCATTTGGAGATTTTTTAAAATAATGCCCTTAGGCACTTTTGAAAATCGTAGCTACTACCAAATACAGAGAAAAAAATGCCTGTGTCAAGCTGGTCTTTTTACACTGTTGAGATTCTTCTCCTAAAAAGAAGTCATGAAAAAGACCCTCCAAAAAAGTAAACGTGGGGGTATTTGTGTAGATTTAATGTAAATATTCATGTCTTTAACTTCTCCTCTGCTCCCTGCACATAGCATGGAAATGTATTAGGCCTTTACTTCCCAGCACCTGCCCCCCAATACATATCAGCCTGGTGCCACCCCCACTCCCCACTTTGGGAAAGCACTTCTTTTCATGACCTACTGCTTAAGCCGAGATAGGGTGGGAGGATTTTTAACTCTAGAAGCTGGTTCTTCTGGACAGAAGTGTATCCGTGTCTCCCCTGGAATGGGATTGAATAGGGCAGGAAAGGGAGTGAGCGTGATAAGGAAGACAGTAGGGGAAGCTGAAATCTCCTGGACCTTAAAGCTGCTCAGTCTAGTCCATGGGCAGAAGGGGAGCAAAGGGAAATCCACCTTCTGGGACCTTGCTGAGAGCAGAATGACTGCTGCATCATTTTGCTTGGAGAACCACTAGGGCCTACCAGGAAGCGTGAGCAAAAAGTCCATTTGAAAAATGTCAGCCACTTTGTGCTGGTTCAAGTTGGCCGTGTCATAGGACCACAGGAAAGCAGGGCTGGAAGGGACCTCATGAGACCATCTAGCCCAGCAGCCTGCTCAAGGCAGGGCCATCGCAGCCAAGGGTCTTTCCAACCTGCAATTGAACATTTCCAAAGACAGAAAGAAATGCTACCGCCTTTCTAGGCAGCCCTTTCCAATGCTTGGCCACGCTCATAGTGAGGAAGTTCCTCCTTCTTAATCTCCAATCTAAATTTCCTCTGCTGCATTTCAAGGCCACTGCTCCTAGCCCTGTCCCCTACAGCCATAGAGAACGGTCTATCTCCATCCTCTTCATAGAGGGTTAAAGGTGAAGCAATGTGTCTGTTGATACACTGGTTCCTGGGACTGTTAGTCCTCCAGTGAAGTCAACAGACAGCAACAAAAGTCAATGCGAAGCAGAAGTTGCCAGTGAAGCCTAAGGAATCTGCGACTAGGGGTTGCATGCTGGCACAAGATGAATGGCCACCTCCAGCACTCACGCCGTTCCTAAATTATGAGGCCCCAGATTGCCAGAGGGTGGGAGCAAAACCAGACCACAAGCATCCTCTGTCTCCAGCCCTATTACCAGAAAGGGATATTGAGAGTTCCCGTGAGATGCCGGCTGCCAAGGGCTTCCAAGCAGTCTTTTGCATGGCTTGTCTTCCCCCTGGCATTTCTCAGCCAAGTGATGGAAGCAGCTGGAGTCCCTTTTGAAGAGAAACTAGTAGAGAGGAGAGGACGAGAACAAGGTAGAGAGGTGGCAGGGAGCTGGGCAGAAAGCCAAGGACGATGAAACTCAGGCTTGCAGGTAGTAAGAGGCCTGGCTTTGTAGTAGAGCCAGGAGACAGGAGCACAGAGTAATGGGATCCTGCACCAATTAATGGCCATGTTCTTTCTTTTGAATGTGTAGCTTGCAAACGCAAAGAGCAGGAGCAGCAGAAAGACCGGAGCCTGCAGCCCAAGAAGCAGCGGCTGGTCTTTACGGACCTCCAGCGCCGCACCCTGATCGCCATCTTCAAGGAGAACAAGCGTCCCTCCAAGGAGATGCAGATGACCATCTCGCAGCAGCTGGGCCTGGAGCTCAATACTGTCAGCAACTTCTTCATGAACGCCCGCCGGCGGTGCATGAACCGCTGGCAGGAGGAGCCTGGCACCAACCCCGGGGTCCCCTCTTCTTCTACAAGCACTTTCTCCAAAGCATGATGTTCCTTCTTGGCCCCTCTGTAACCCCTGACCACTCCTTCCTCATGAGAAATCCAACCACACACTTAGACACATGCACCAATCAAATGACAAGTCAAACTGACCCAGACCTTATGGATGGGTGCTCTTGGGTGCTGCAGGGAAGCTGGCCTCCGCCTCTGGATTTTGGCCTACTCCCATGTTTTGCCTTCATAGTCCAGTCCCAGAAGAAGCTCATGGCAGAGGGGCAGTTTCCTTTCTCTTGGCGCTCTGAGGAAACTTCCAGTGGAGCGAGTGATGCCCAAACCACCTGAAGTCCAAACCATCCTTGCAACTCTCACGGTTCACACAGGATATGAGGCCTCCTGTTCCTTCCCCGTGATCCAGCCACGGAGGAGAGATGCCCTCTCCTGCTTCTGCCAACAAAGGAGGGTGCATCCCTCCCCAAACATGTCTCCTTACACTCTGATGTATTTACTAGGCTCACCTTTAAACGTCACATTATTAGCCTCTCCCTTCACAGGATAAGATACAAGATTTGAGGCCTGAGAGATGGGCTCCAGCTCATGCATTTAGAACCAAATTCCATACAATTTCAGTAAAGAAGAGCAGCCAACCTCTCCACATTTCCGGCATTTACATAGGAGAGCAGAGGTCTCAAGTCCCATATTTGTAAAGGTATTAGATGCTTAATGCTGCAGACGGGCACCAAGCGGGAGCTCAAAAGCACCTGCGCCACTAATTCCCATTAAAATAAGGAAATGCATGGGAGTTAGGCATCTCGATGCTTTTGAGAAGCCCACAAGGTGCATCCCCACAGCTTCAGGCAAATAAGTACCTTCTGTGAAGACATTTATCCAACCCTTTGAGAAGCCCCCAAGAGCATCCATTGCGGCTACTGGTTTTTGACATCAAGTGCACAAAGAAGGTCCAAAAGGGAAAACAAGCAAGCAGCCCAAGAGAAGACTCCTTTTCTTCTGGGATTCCTTCCAAAGAAATTCCAAGCCTAAGGAAAATGTGGAGACATTAATACAGAAACAGCACCCACCCTCTCCCCTGCTGGCCTTGATTTGACAGCAGGGTGACACAGGAGCCAGCAGAGGGGGGTGCAAAGTTGAATTGCACTGTGTCACCGAGAGTTCAAGCAGATCAAGAAGCACATTTTAGCGAAATAAATCGGGTATAAAAAATAGTTGTTTGAAAAAAACCACGAGGAAAGACTTCGACTGCAGGATCTGATCTTTCCTGGGGACTGGACCGGTGAGGCCGGTTGAGCCCAGCAGTGCTCGCTGCTTTATTTCTGTTTTATTTTTGGTTTGGTAGTGAACCCAAACAAAGCACTGTTTTGTCTGCTTTGTGTCTCCCCCCACTGGTAATACACATACTGTCCGCCCCGCTCCCTACCCTCCTCTCTGTTACCAAAGAAAGAAAACCAAAAACCAAAACCCTGCTGAAATCAACAATGGTGCACGGTGGAAAACAAAAAACAGCAACAAAAAAAATGGATCTAGTTGCAAAATATAGAGATATATGTGAGAAAACAAAAAAAGATCAAAAGGGAAAAATAAAACAAAAAAGTAATAAAACCAAAACAAAAAAAAAAAGGGACCCCTAGAAAAAGCTCGACTAAAAGACCGGCAACTTACAAAAGACGACAGATTTTTTTTTGTGCCAATTAACAACCTGCCTTAAATGCGAAATCCTAGAAAGATGGTACTAGCTTCAAAATTTATTGTTTCCTCTGATCTCTAAATGGTGACTTGTGCCATATACAAAGCAATCACAAGGCAAAACAATTAAGATCAGCTGTCAAGCAACCAACCAAACCCCCCACCCCCAATGCCTCTTTACAAAACTCCAGTGCCTCCTTGGGGAGAGGAGGAGGTGGGGGAGGAGACAAGATGAGGTTGGGGGAAAAGGAAATGGCCCCTCCTCCACATATGGGAAAAATTTTATAAAAAAAGGGACAATATTGAATTGATGCGGGTAAAATAGTACCATCTTGGATCTAGTGCTACAGTTTCTTCTATTCACTTTACTTTGAAAATGATCTGTTGTGCAACAGTGAGGCACCTTGCTGAAAAGAATGAAAGAAGGAAATATATATATATATATAATATATATATACATACATTGAAAAGGAAAAGAAAGGAAGGAAAAAAGAAAGGAAAGAAATAAACCTAGAAATCATTTACTAACCTATCAGAATGGTCTGAGCAGGTAATCAGGACTCCCTGTACCGTCTCACCAAAGCGATCACTGGGATGGAGGGGGCGACCCAGAAGCAGGGGTGAAGGGGGGGGGGTCAGAGTGATATGGTTACAACTAAATAAAACATAATTTACTACTAGAAAGACAGAGAGATGGGAGAAGAAAGACAGAGAGAAAGAGAGAGAGAGAAAGAGAGAAAAGGAAGGAAGGAAAGAACATGGCAGGCGCCACGTTGTGTTTTGCCGACAAAAAAAAACCACAAAAAAGGAAAAGCAAATATAATTCCCCACCCCCCCGCCACCGACTTTCCCCTAAAGTTGTTTCTTCTTGTCTTGTCATGACGTGGTGGCGATGATGATGGTGGATTCCTGAACCCGATCTAGTAGTATTCAAGGGCTGAGAAGCCAAGAAGGGGCCTTGGTTTGGGAAGCGAAAAAGAGTAAATTCCACAGGCCCCCAAGGATGCAAAGACATTTCTAGTGAGAACCCAAGGATAAAGGCTACCTCACTTGAGTTTTCAATTTTTGTGATTTGAAAATCACGTCTGATACCAAAGATTTTGTTCCCCTTGTCTGGTCTGTGCTGGAAACACCGCTTTCCCTGCTGCCTTTGAGACAGGTACATCTGTAAATCCTTTCCCCCCCACCCCTCCTCTACCTCCTTCCCGCTCCCCGCAACCTCCCCCTCCTCTTCTTCTCCCTTCCCGGCAGCCCCTTCGAGTCCTGAGTGCGAGAGAGAAAGAGAGAGGACAGAATGGTAGCATGTTAGATGAGTGCCTTTTTCTTGTACCAAAGGTGTGTGGCTATTTCTTCACTTCTATGCTTTTGTCCTATACGCTCGCTGTTACCTCACCTCTTCGAAGCAGATGGATTCTGGTGATCCCTTTAGCCTTTGGGTGTTGGGGCAGAAAAATAGATCCCCCCTTTCTGGAAAAGTTCTCAGTTTCTGTTCTTCCTGGGCAGAAATCTCCCCCTTGGACCTCTCAATGCCTCAAAATAGAGCAGTTAGGAGGATCCCAGAGACCCACCTCACCACTTGTTCCTTCCCTCACCATTGGCCCCACTCGCTGACCTCGGTCCGTGGCTGCTTCCCTACGTGCAGGTCTTATAGCTAGGGACAAAAAGGGATCTCAGTTTGTCTGAAGTTTTGCAGCAGCCTGAGTTGTCTCCTAGGATCCTGCAGATGCTAGAGAGAGAAGTGTATTGTACTATTAAATCCTCCCCTTCCTCCTCCTGTGGAGGACAGTGTGGGGCATTCCTCGGACCAAATACTGACCTCTCCCTCAACCCAAATTTTGGTAGCCTGGGCAGAGCTTGAGATTTTTAGCAGCTTCACGGGCTGGGAGGGTGAGACTCTCAAATACCACAGCTCATGTCAGAAAGAAGTTGAAGGGAAAACTCTTCCCTTAGATCAGGGGTGGGCAAAATGCGGCCCAGGGGCCAGATGCGGCCCGCCAGGCCATTGTATCCGGCCCGCGAGGCCCCTAAAAAACTTAGAAAATCAATATTTATCTGCCCTGGGCTGCCTGTCATGTGGCTCTCGATGGCTTGCCAAAACTCAGTAAGCGGCCCTCTGCCCAAAATTATTGCCCGCCCCTGCCTTAGATGGATCCTGTTGGTCTCATACATACAGCAGGACCATTGGTGCCATCCCACAGGGAGCAGGGGAGTTGCCTGATGTGGGATTGTCTCTTCAGCATCCAACGTTTTTCCTAAATCTCTCACAGAGGAGGGTTTGGAGCCAAGCCACAAATGTAATAACCACAAAGTGACCATAACGTTTGTGGACATTTTGGCTTGTGGGTCCTGTGTGACCTCAGCTAGGGTATCCCCCACCCAATGAACCTGCATTTCTGAGATTAACCAGTTACACCGGGGTCAGATAACACCAAGCCTGTAAGGTGAGGAGGGAAGTTTGGGAAATGACGCTAGTGATGTTCATTGCCGGAAAGTTTTCCAGCCCCTCCACGTGTTGTTCACATAACAACTTTCCCCTAGGTGGGCTGGCAGAGGTAGGGATCAAAGCGGGACCCTCTAGATATAAACAAGTGTCTCTACTGCCAGAGCAAAACTGTAGGTTGGCCAACGCTCTAGGAGGCTCATCAACATTTATCGGTGGCCTGGTCGCAGCCAGAGGGAGACAGTGCGCTGCCGTCCAAAGTCACCCCAGTGCAGAATATCACAAGTGGAGCTGGGTGTAGACATGCTTGCCGTGCAGATGCCTTCTGGCACCGTTGGTTCCTTGGCAAACAAAAAAATGTAAAAGAATTTCATTCATCTTGAACTAAACCTTTTTTGTGGGAAAGCAAAATGTTTCAATTGTCTTACGGGTTTTGTTTTGCCTCTTTAGGTCAGGTCTTTTTTTTTTTTTTTTTATGTATAAAAGGGAAGCCGGCCTCCCATGAAAAGTCACTGCCAATCAAACATCAAAATGCTTCGCTGTGAAAAGGTCCAAATGAAATATTTCATTTTTTTCAGGGGGGTTGTTTGGGATTTTTGGGGGGGAGGGGGGAGGGGATTGAAACAATTTGGCAAGTTCATCACAACTTCATGAAAGGTTTTGCTTGGAGTGAATTTGATTTTTTTCAGAAATGAAGATTCAGCCAAAACATTTGGGCCAGCTCTACCCGTGAGCATAATGTGCAGCCCAGAGCTGGACCCAGAAAGGGAAATTTACCCTGTATTGCTTTGCTTTCTAACAAAACCAGAGCAATACTAGCCTATCCTGACCTTGCAAACCACAGTCCCCACCTCTTAAAGGGGAAGTGTTCACATTAAATACAAACGAATAACTCATGTTTACCAAGGGACCTCAGTAGCTTTGGCATCTGCTTTTTTCTGGGGAAGATAATAGAGATAAATCTTGAGCCCTCATGGGTCATGCAGAAGTTCAGATTAGAGGAAAGTACCTTCTTGTCATCCCCCTTCCCCTCCCGAAATCCAACCTGCATCAAACTACATGAGATTGAAACTCTAGTGGTTGTTTCTAAGCATGCCGTTGCTAATCCCGGTTAGCGATCAGGATTCAGCTGGGCTCACTTCCAAATGTGACTGCTCAACCCAGCAAGGAAGGGGCAAAGGCCAATGCTGAGATACTATCAAACGACCTCAGTGAGTTGCCTGCCAGTTGCCATTAAAACTGATGGCAATATTGGGTGGCTTTCAAAAAGTCTGCCCCAAAGTTCATTTTCTTCCTAAACTACCACAGGAGATTAAACACACGAGGAATGGGCAGGCTGGATGATCTCCAAAGCACACTGCTGCTCCAGGTCCTTGTCAACCCCCTTACAAGGGTGACCTCCCCACCTACCAACCCTTTCCCCGGCCATACCAATCCCAAACCTCACCTCTGCCAACCTTCTACCCAATACCCAAGGGGCTTTTGATACCAAAGACATTTTTCCATGCAGGGAAAGACCGTTTTTGTTTTTTTTTTGCCCAGCACAGACCTTACAAGCCTTTGACAATGTTCTCTGAAATACCTCAAAATATTTAATGTATAGTTTATGTGATAAAAAAAAAAATTACTTAGCTAGTTTTTGGAATTTGTGACTTGAAGCTTTATACTGTTAAATTATAATTTTGCAGAAGACGGCATGTTCTTATTTCTTTGACGCGTTCAATGGGAGACATATTGAATGTTAAGGAAATGAAAGCTGGTTAGTTTCACGATTTAAAAAAAAAAAAGAGAGAGAGAAAGAGAGAGAGAAAGATTTAAAAAGGACCCTTGGAGTTTACAGATTTCATATTTAAACAAGTCCTTTTAAAAAAAAAACTAATAATGACGACAATGATACCTTTGCGTTCAGATGTGTTACTTTTCTCTGAGTCATGTCTTACGAGAGTATTTATTATATGTGTTATGTGTTCAAATGTAATTTAAGAAGACAAAAAAGACAAAAAAAAAGACGATGAAAAATTTGATTTATGCATGAAAAAACTATACTCTTTCTTGAAGTAATGTAATAATTATTCGGGGGAGGGGGAGCGGGTGGGAGGGGGAGGGGACAACTGTGCGTTTTGTCCACACGGTTTCATTTGACTAGGAGTTCTCTGCATGGACCATGTTTTCAAAGTCACTCAATCATGGGAGGTTCTCGTTTCTTTATTTTACTTCCTTTCCGTTGTATCGAATGGTGTTGTAACAACACTGGGAGTTAGAAGGAGCTTTCCCTGCCCCATACCGGGGCAGCGGAGGGAAAACCACGGAGGGAGGATGGGGTTGGGAGAGTCACGTGGCAGATCCACGTGCCCAGCAAACAGGGTAAGAGTGCCTGGAGCACGGGGGCCGTAGCATCCCCGAGGGGCTGTGTGGGAGGAGGCTAGTTCAGCCCATCTGACTTTCCCAGCCCTCTGAACCCAAAGCCCCACATTGTCAAAGCTGCTTCCTTGTACTCTTGGTTGCTTTGGTTTAACCAGATCTGTTTTCTCACTTCGTATCAAATCACAAGTGTCTTTGTGCAGAAGAGAGAGAGAGAGAGAGAGAGAGAGAGACAATCAGTCACAACGACTCCTGTTACTTGATCAGCCTGGCTCCTGTGCCCTCTGAGACAAGGGAAGCAGCCTGTCCTGGCCCCCAAATCACCAAGACCCCCAACCATTGCCTCCCCCCAACAACCTTGTTTTAGCCACTTGGGCTCCTGTGCTAGAGTCCAGCTGAGCCGCCAGGTCATTTGAGCCAAGAGTTTTTGAAGTGTCGCCATTTATTCCACAACCGCGCAGCAGCCCTGTAAAGACAAAGTGAAGCATTTCAGTCCGTCGCAAGGCTCCGTTGTAGCTTCACGCTTCAGGAATGGGTAGAAGAGACCATTTCTTTTCATGTGGACCTCTTCGGTACTTGAAGAGTCTCCATGACCGCAGTACCTCCCACCCCTTCAGGCCTTCATCTGCACATCACCCCAGTGAGATACCCAATGTGGACATTGGCCTTTGCCTACGCGGGGAGTTAAAACACAATGGGCCAGATTGGATACAACCCAACCCAGGGCAATGGGAGCCCAGGGAGGAGGCTGGCATAGACAGTGGCCAGTGGAAGAACTCAGAAGACTTGGCAATCTCCAGACTTTTGTAGTGCAGCCTGCTCTGCTGGGCTTCAGCCTCCCATGCCAACCTCAGCCACACTACCTGCCCCTCGCCCTTTCTCCATGCATTGGCCCAAAGATGGGGGGTGGAAGGTAGAAAAATCGGGGGGCATGAAGAGACAAAAATTAACCACCATAGGGGGAGGGGGTGCATAAACTACCTCTTTCTGTTTCTCAAACATTACGAGAGCGCTTGCCTTAAATGACTCTTCCCCATCCCCTGCCAGCCCCCTGCACCTCTCCCCCAGGGCATGTTCCCAAAGATTGGCTCTGTGCAAGGAACCCCTCTGAATCATCTCTCGGCAGCTTTGGGTCCCACCAAAGCAGGCAACGTCCTCACTTGTACTAAAGCTGGGCCTTACTCCCACTGACCATTCTCAACAGCATCCTATATGGGGATAACAGCGTTGGGCCTCCACCAGCCACAACCCCCAAGGCCGCAGCGCCTCGCCTTCTTTGCCCTAGAACGGCCGGTGGGTTCTGCAGAAGTCTGCCATCCCAGTCATTGACAGCCTCCTCCATGGCCATGCCTTTAGGACCAAGACACTAGACAGTCCCCAGGCCCCCCACACCTGTTCAGCAGCAATTCAGCTGCCACTGGATTCTCATTCTTGCCACCTGTTCTTTCCATCTCCATTGTTTTTCCTCCCAGACTAGATGGCTGCCATATCACTTGGGCTCTATGGCAGCTGCATGGTCTAGTCTAGTGGCCACAGGTGTGTGTAGCTAACCAGGGCAAAAGCAAAAAGCTCTCTCCTCCTTCCTACTCCTCCAGCTTGCAGCCCTTCCGTGGTTCTCTCTGCACTAGGATCGGCCTTCCTTGCACTTTTGGATCTCTTCAGGCGATAATTGTTTCTTTGCTCATCGGCAGCAATTTTGGCAGGAAACATCCTATTGACTATATACTCCCCCTCATTACCTAACTCCCCTTTGCTGCACAAAATAGCCTGTCTGTATCATAGCATATGGCAGGGGTAGGGTGTGGAGCAAGAGGCAGGTCACTGATACAGGGTTAATCAGGGTGGCTGAATTCCTTCGAGAAGTCTCCTTTGGCCACTCCGGCCTGTAATGCAAAGGCTGGAGGGTCCATGATGATTTGTATGGCACCATGCTTGAGCTCAGTAATGGATCATGGTGTGGGACAAGACTGGCCAACCCAGGTCCAAGGTTTCTTGAACAGGCACTCAAAATATTTCCTTCCAGCAGGCCCATCTTCCAACGAGCTAATGGAGTCATCACCCTACCCCAATGCTCACTTTTCTTGCTTCATCCTCTTATACTCCTAGAGGTCCTGGAGTTCTCCCTTCCACTATACACAGCACCTTTACTCAACACGGGATACCCTGCCATATTTCCACATAAAAATTCTCACCTCCCGATGGACAGGGATTCATCTCCAAGACTGAGATCCCTCTGCTGAGCTGAAGAAGGGGGTCCTATGGATTCAGTGCATAGAGTTGCTGGCACACTCACAATCCAGCCAACCTTCCTGGAGCACAGAAGCTCTCCCAAGTTTGCCTGCTCCGACTCGCTTGCTTAGTCCAAATTCACAGCACAGCCCGGGTGACCGTCCTAGCCAGCTGGTTTCCCCAGCACCGTACCGCACCGCACCAATCAAGTGGCTACAACAAAGAGGAGCGAATTAGGGTGGGATTTGCAGGAGCGCATGGCAGCCTCACCTCTGCTCTGCCCCCATTGAAGCTGGCAGGATTGACACGGCTGGGAGCAAGCTGGCTAAGGCCGAGTGTTTCCGCCTTCCCCTCTTGGCCTCTCGCCCTGCACGGAGCAGGCCGTTGCCCATCCGTGGGATGAAGAGTGGGGTGCTTGGGCTGTCGGGCAGGCCGAGTCACAAGAAAGTGAACCACGTGCCATGTGAGTGCCCTGCCGCTCCCCCACAAGGACCCCCTTGGCTTTGCCTGCCACCCTGACAGGTACCAAAATGGCTTGAGGAACAGCCTTTCACGATACCAAAGATTTTTCATACAGGTAATGACAATCCTAGCTGTGTCCTACAGACAATTCTCTCAACCAGGGGTGTCCCTGAAGAGCATTTTTGTACTGTGGGGAGCGGAAGCCAACCTTGGACCCTGTGGGGCAGCCTGACAGTGGCCTTCAGAAATGCAATGGCAGATCCATCAAGATGCACTTTCTGAAGGGGATTAAAAGCTGAGGGTGTAATACCAGCAGGGTTGCTTGTCACTGCTAAGTCTAGCAAAGGCTGGAACCGGGAGCCAGGAGAACAGGGCGCTCTTCTATGCCCTTCCAAATAATTTCTGAGCAGTCATTTCCTCCGGCTGTGACACGCAGCCCCAACTCCGTCAACGGCTTAGAGATCTCATGATGGAAAGCACAATGTGGGGTGACACCCAAGTGTTGGGATGGTGCTATGTGAAGGGAATAGCCCTCGGGGCTCACAGAGAGCAAACAGCTTGTGCCAGCTAGATTGATCACAATAGTCATCCCATTGAGCAGACTGGGACAGAAGGTGGCCGAAATGTAGGCAAGAGAGATCCTGGCCTTGCTGAAGTCAACAGGCATCTTTCCATTGACTTCAATGGGGCCAGGATTTTACTCTATAAACCAGTGGTTTTCAACCGGTGGTCCACGGACCCCTGGCAGTCCACAGACTATGTCTAAGAGGTCTACGAAAGATGACTATGATCAATCCAAAGTATGTAAGTACTCACACTTCCAGTTCAAAGGAGTCTGCACCTCCATTCACATTTTTTTCAGGGTTCACAAATGAGAAAAGGTTGAAACCCACTGCTACAGATCCTTCGGTTCGGTGTCTGCTGTGTCTGTATCCCTGTTTTCACTGGTGGAAATGCGAGAAGTTTGCTTATGGTCAGCCATCTCCATTTTTCCATGTACAGAAAGCTGCTGTAACATCAGGCTGGACTGATCGTTGGTGGCACTAGGTTGAAAAATAAGATTTTTATTTTTTTTTTGCCAGTTTGATCCATTTTTACCAGCGAATATGTTTTGCCTGAAAAATGTTCTCGTGTCAAAAAAGCCAATACATTTCAAAGGAAAAATGTTATCTTCAACAACGTCAGTAGAAAATGTGTGATGAAAGAGTTAAAAAAAAGTTCATCTTTTTTTGAAACTACATTTTTTTTTTTCATTCTGAAACCTTGAATCCCCTTTTCTTTCTTTCTTTTTAACTTCTACCTATCTTTAAAATTGGGAAAAGGGACACAAACCAGAGTAACAAAAATAACCCAGCAATTTTGAAATGAAAAAAAATTTTAAAAACATGAAAATTGAAATAAAAAGTCATTTTTTTCCCCAGTGAAAAATAAAAGTATTCAGTGAAAGTGCTTGTTACAAAGCTGAGTGCTGACCCTGACGTTCCAGTGATAAAAATCAAAATGTTTCCTTGCCTCTCAGGCAGGCAGTTCCCTTGTTCTTGTCCGGTAGCTGCTTTGAGGCCTCTGTGTGTCAGGTATGCAGGTTGTAGCCATATTGGTCTAAAGGAAAAGCCTGTGCATATGATGACCTTTACAATCATGGGGATAGGTGTACGGAGATCCACCCAGTAACCTCCAGTAGAGAAGCACCTGTGCAAATCATAAATTGACAGGGGGAATCAGACACTGATAAAAAAAAAATGCTCAGATGACAAGGGAGGACTGGGGGGTTTTGCCTGGGAAGAAATGGCCTTCCTTTTGGAAAGGAACCTTTGTACCAAAAAATGCCATTTAAAAAAAAAAAAAATGTCAGGGAAAAATTTCACATTATTTCTAAAGATCTTCATGCAATTGCATGTGTCCATCTCGGCATGTCCTTCTTTTTCTCCTCTTTCCACTTCCTGTTTATGTGTTGCTCCTTTTATGCCCCCATCATTTTCAAAAGTCAAAAAATTGGGAGGAGAAATAGAAAAACAAAGAGACGGGGAAGAAAACCAGAAGCAAAGGGAATATGGTGGTGAGGAGAGAAACATATAAGAAAAAAGAAAAGGAGGAAAAACTGAACGTTGAAAATGACACCAGACAACGCTGGAAACCAGTCTCCAGTATTCTTGCTACAACCATCATATGCTTAACCAAATGAGATCTGCTGGTACAAGTTTTGCTGGGAAAGAAACCCGAGGTCCGCCCTGTCTAAGCAGTAGGAGCAGCAGAGGTTGGAAGAATCAGAGAGGTTCATTTTTTAAACCTAGCTTCTACCAACCCCACCAGCGTGACTGTGTTGGTATCACTTTTCTTTCTCTGGAGGAAAGAATTACGCTGGCCTGGTTGCGCTGGCTGAGGGGCTGATCAGCAAAGAGGACAAGGAGACAGGGACACTTGGAAATCCATCTTTCAGACCCGATCCCAGCAGCGAGCCCACGTCTCAGCCCCAGCAGAGTGGAGAGCCCCGTCCTCAGTCGCCCACATTTGAATCTCCCCAGCAATCCACACCCGAAAGCCTAGTGCAGTTTGCTGATGATGCCGTGTCCCCTGCCCTGTCCCTTGGCTCTGATGCTTTGGTTCATGCTGCTGCCTAGCCTTGCCCGTCAAGGTGAGCGCAGCGCAGGGGTCTTGGTGTTGTGAGGGGCTCTTTCCTGGTAGCTCTTTGCTCTCTGCAAGTCTCAAGTGGTGCTGGCTGTAACACTGGGGTGGAGATGTGGGTCGCATCATTTGGACGTCCCATGGTACCCTGAGAATTAGGGTCAGCAATGCTGGGCAGCTCCTAGAGCAGCGTTGCTCAACCCGCGTGCATTCGGGATGTCTGTCAAAGATGCTGAGCAGGATCTGGGAAGAAAATGATAAATCGAGAAACGTTCCCGATGTCAGACTCAGCCAAAGCAGACGGGAGCAGCATTTCGGCAGGGGGAAGGGAGCAGCGGGACTCCCAAGTTCTTTTTGTTGTTCATCCTCAGCAAATTGCTAAACCTCGCTGTGCCTCGGTTTACCCTGCCTGTAAAGTGGGGTTAGTGATGATTTCCTATGCCCCATGGTTGAGCGTGGGGGTGGTTAATGAGTTAGTGTTTCTAAAGGGCTTTGGGCCCTTAGCATGGAAAGTGTTGTGGGAGGCAAAGGGCTGTTATTGTTTGCTCTTAATAGTGCTGATTTTGCTGAGGTCCACTTAGGACTTCTTCTCACGGGCACAGAGGAGAGCTCACCTGTGTATCGCAAATGCCAACAAGTGCTCAGTGACGTTAGGCTTGGGTGACTGGCTCTGCTCACAGAGCCCTTGGGCCTGACTGCATTTTTGTACCCGAGATGAGGGCTGATGGGACACCACCTCCATCTCCTGCCATGGGCTGCTGCTGCTCACTCAGCCACAGCTCCCAGTACAGTCACCAGGAGTTTTGGCCAAGTGAGGATGGCAGGATCAGGCCCCACAATAGCATCTTAGGAAACACCGGGAGGGCAAAAAATAAAGCAGTTACACTCCTGATTTGGATCTCATCCCACGTGAAGCCCGCTTAACATTGTCAGCTTCAGAGGCGTCATTGCTGGACGCAAAGCCAACGACAGGTTAATTCAGTGGACTTAATTGGGCCAGCCACCAGTTCAGAGTTTAGTCCAGCATGATGGCTCCTCTACACGCAACACTACACCAGTTTCAGCACAGGTGTGATTTTGAACCGGTTTAGTCCAACTGGCGCATGCCTCTGAGTAAGCCCTCTTCCACTTATTTGGCCCTGGTTTATATGGGTGCAACTCATCTCAGTAAATTGCCAGGCCCAGCCCGCTTGGGAAAAATCAAACTGAACCTATGCAGATATTAGACCTACCCAGAGTTTATCGCTGGTTTAATGCAATCAGTTTTAACATCAGTGTGGAGAAGCGAGTGTCAAGAGAAGCAGGTGCTACCCGTTTCCTTACTGCCATAGCTAACCCTTCTTGATGCATTAGGCTGACTAAAGGAATCACTGGGTGACGTTCTCCAGCCTGTATAATGCAGCTCATAGACAGAGATCACAGCGGTCCCTTCCGGCCTGGAAAGTCATGAATCTGCGACTCATTTTCCCTTGTCTCAGAGGCCTCAGGGAGCCGGCTTGGAGAGCCAGGGACAGTTCTGGATGTACACACGCCGCGGTGGGGAATCCAATTCCTCCTCCGTCTTTCTTTGACGGGGTTTTTAAAAAAATAATAATAATAAAAATGAAAAAAATTGGTTCATTTTTCTGAAATGAAAAAGAAAAACAAGACCGAGTCAGACAAAAACCATCCTGAAAAACACCGACTCGGGGATTCCAGACCCCTTGGGCAACAATCACTCACTGTTATGTACAGCAATAGGTACCACTCACCCTTGGACTGCATGAACTTTCTGGGGGGCTGCATCTCTGATTTTTCTTTTTTCTTTTTCATTTAATTGATTTTTTTTTTTGCTGTTGTGTCCACTGGACAGCTCATGGGATAGGTTCTATTCTACAGCAAAATGCAATTGTTAGTCCTCTGTGTCTTGCAATTATATTTGTTTAAACTATTTATGAAGGTTAAAAAAAAAGAATAAAAAGAGTCTTATGTGTTAGGCACTTTATCCAAACTGTGCTGTGTCGTCTGGAGTTGGGACCTGGGTCCTTGCAAGGATGATGCAGGGGAAGAGTCCGGGAATCCTTAACTCCATCCTGTTGACAGGTTTGAAAAGAAAAAAAAAAATCTCTATTTGTTCATCTTCTGCTGTTCATGACTGTGTTGTAAGTTTTTGCAGCTTTCTGTTTCTTCAATAAATTATTTTCTAGTCATTCACCCCGGAGTGTTTATGTCAGCCCACAGCGTGGCCCTGGAGGGCGTTCTGGTTTCTCGTGTACAAGTGATCATCACTCGCTCTCTCCTTGCACAGAGCTGCTGAAAAACCACCGGCCGGATCCTCAGCTGGTGCACATACTAATGAAAGCCCAGGGAGCCCCTGGAGAATTGGACAAGAGTGTATGTCTGACCACTGCCCTCTACCTGGTAGAGTCGGAGATGCTCAGCGGTGTCTCCCTGGCCCTGTGTTGTTAACAGAGATCCCCCTTTTCAAGGAAGTGGCTGGAGAACAGGAGTATCTGAACTTTGTCCACGCTG